AACCAAAATATTGAAGAGAATCACAATCCCTCATTTAGTAATTAAAGAGATAAAACATCTTCCTACATTTATAAAGACACTCGCTCATTTTGGGAATTCTTTCCTAATTCTCTGTTCCAAACGGCACATTTAAATTAACTCAAAATTCTCAGTTATTTTGGTAATGCCATTAATTTGTTCATTTTTAAAGATCATTGTCCTTTCTTTAGAACATGTATCACAGCACACACAAAGCCATCTGTTCAGTGCATTATTACAAGCACACAGTAAAGAAAAAAAATACAAGGAGCCCCAGCTGCAATTTTACTATTAATTCATCAAAAAAGTAATTTCCTTTTGCAGTACTTCATCAGATCCTGAAAATTGTGCACGTGATTCACAAATAGAGAAGAAAACAGCACAATTACAGGAACCCAAACGAACCCCCAGCCCCAAACTGCAATGACACCAACATTGTAATCTATCCTCATGTGGCGCAGCAGCTTCTGTCTGCCTGGAATGCACAGCCCTTCTGGATGCTCTATTAGGGCTGGCTACAAAACTTACACATTTTTAGCTAATTATGGGTCAGAATAAGAAAAGGGAAAGCAGATTAGCAGTACAGTCATATTAAACAGAGATTAACACAGCAAGAAAATAAAGTCACTGCTCTATTTGTCTAATCCTGACTCCTGCACGGTCTTTAGAAACGCGCTGCACTAAATACGCTTGTTAATATATTTAAGACAATTAATTATTGCAATTGTTATTCTTTTTCCCAAAATTTTATTCTCCTAATGCTTGAAGCATTTTTCCAGGCTACATCTTACTCTTTGAACATCTTCTCTATTTGCTGTTGGTTGCAGTGACATCTATTGGAGAGGCAGTGTTTGGCTACACAAGCTGCCTCACCTGGAGATCACAGGTTTTGGCTTGCCAACCCCCCAGCCCCCACATTCAAATTTCTTCTCCTCTGTTTTAGCACCATTTTTACGTAAGGCAAACTCCAAACTGTTGGATACTCAAGGCTTAAGCTGCTTTATCAAAAGCTTTTGTTTAGCTACTGCTCACCATTCTGGCATTTTTCCAAAGGCACAATGATATTTTGTCATCTTCACCCACAGCAGAACCCAAACACCTACCCGAGGGCGCGCCTAAAGCACTCCATGTGCTCGGCCATACACTCCATTAAGCCTCAGCTGACCTCTCTACCATCGTTTAAGCTTTTGTTTCTGATGAAAGCCATCCTCCTCTCCCATGAGTACCAACGTCACCGATGCTGTGGAAGCTGTGAAAGCCTTGGGTCCGTTCATCCAAACCAACCCACGCACACAGGGAGGCTTGCCCCTCTGTCACCCTAAGCAACCACAGGTCGACCACAGAAGAGAACACGTGGCTGAAACACTAAAGAAGTTGTGATTCAGTAGAAGAAACGCCGTTCCTCAAAAGTGTGTTAGGAAGATAAATAATTATGCTTTCTTATAGCTCCATTGATTTTTGCATTATCTGCAGACAAAAAAAAAAAAAGAAGGGGACATTATTATCCCCTGATTAGATACAGTCAAACATCCTTGCAGACAGGAAGTCTGAGCGCTGCAGCATCTAGTCCATTATCTTAGTCACCTTTCACTATTTTTTATTATCTATTTTTATTATTTTAAGTTTATTTGAAACCCACCGGATCAATCTCAGCCTCTTAACTAGACAAGATCTTTTACTAAAAATAATTTATCAATTGAAATTCAAGTTTCCAAGTTCTTCCAGTGGTTGTCTTTCCAGTTTTCTAATTGTCTTTAAAGGCCTCTCTTAAGTTATGATTGCCTCAACTCCGTTACAAAAATATACCCAAATTGTACAGCTACGAATGCCCCAAGGAAAAGCTTACAAAACATTCCATTACAAACTGCTCTGCCCATCCATTTCCTCTGCTTCTTTTTACTGCTAACCCCTCATTACAGCAATAAGCCACAACAGGGTGCACATTAGTCTATTAGCAGACTCTCACTGCACACCTACAGCCGTCCGCCTCTAAAAGAAAAAGAACACACCAGTGCCTATTGACACAGTCTGGAGCACAGCTGCTCCTACGTACAAATGGCTCCTTTGTATGCTTTCCCTCCCTTCTATTTGTTTTGATTTATTTATTTTTTTTAATTCTATCCGAAATCTGATGTTTTTAACATTTGGGAAACCTAAAAAAGAATAAATCTTTATGGAGAGTGGCATCCTCCAAAATCACCTGGCACTGTAATATTTTCAGGGTTTTTTTGTGTGTTTTTTTTTTCTTTCCTGAAGGCTCTTTTTGCAGCAGGATGAAGAATCACCAAGCTGGTCTGCCAAACAGTTAAATAAGCAAGCAAGGAAACAAGTTGTCTTCTACAAATCCTGTAAGCTTAGTCTTCCCCAGCTGTTACAGATGTAACTGCCATTCCTCTCCAAAGGATTCAAGGTTTACGAAAGTATTTTAAAATGTGAACTAGAAGCCTTAAAACAGTGAAGTCAAAGCACAGAGTAAACAAGCAGCACTACACAGTCAGAGCTGGAGACTGATTCACATTTGATAGTATCACTGGAAATTAAAAATATATATATATGGAGGAAATGCTATTTTCAACTTGCCTTCAATATGCAGCAAAACACTATTTAGGAGCTTGGAAAATGATCTTTGAGACATTAATGGTTCGAATTAATTTGGAATATAAAGAGAAGCAGGTCTGAAGTTAAGGATGCAAGAAGACTTATTTGAAAAAATAAAGAAAACTCTGGATCTCCTTTGCAGGGCCAGTGGAGCTCAGCATTTAAACCACAGAAACATGAAGGATGCATGAAATGTCTGTAAACCAAGTTCGATGCCCAACAAGGATTTACCCTTTTCTGATGAAAAACTACCTTTGAAAAGAGAAGGCAGAACACCTACAAGAAATGCCTGTTTGTTACAGCGAGCCAGCAATGAAAGCCACAGTTTCAGTGATGGAAAAGCAGAAATAAAAGGGAGCACTGCAAAAAGGCAAGTGAGTTTAAACCCCAGAGGGGAAAGGAAATCAATATCAAAAGGTTATTCAGCCACCTTAAGGGGAAAACAGACTGAACACGGAAACTGCAGTGCATTGAGGACAGGGTAGAAAGGAAAGAAATATTTTCTGTTTTACAGTAGGAAGTCTAACAGTGCTTTGCTTTCATTTTCAGTACGAGAAATGATGAAGAACATGAGGCAAAATATGAGAGTATGTATAGAAGCATGAAGAAAAAGTGTGAAGTGGAGCAAGTAAACTATTTCTGTCGTATGAAAGAAATGGATGAGTTGGCTCATGACATTTAAGTTGTATTAATAAGAATGCTAAATAAGTAAATAACTAAATCCATCAGTAGCACAAGTAGAGTACACAGACTTAACAGCTCTACAACCTCAGAATGCCCTTCTAAGGTCTTCCACACTACTGGCACAGATTGAGAACCACGGGGTGTAAATGAAAGAAGGGGAGGCTATGACATGAATTCACCTGAAATGACACCTCTTCCTTTCAGGACACCTGATCTTCTAAACGCAGAAGACAATCATTAAGTTCACCTTATGTTCAGTGAAGCTCAGTAAATTATTAAGTTCACAAAAAACACAGAACTAGCATATGAAGTGGACAAGAAATAGACCGATACGAACACGCAAACTGGCACTGTCAAGAGGGCAGGCACTTTCCTGGACTGAGATTGCTGGGATGGTGATGAAGAATCAGGACAAAAATTAGGGACACTAAGTAGGTCACAAATATAACACTGTGCTCAAATTTACAGAGAAAACTGTTTTTCAAGTCATCACAGAAAAGAAACTGTGGAAGTCCATTCCACAGCTTCTGAGATGCTTGAGTTTCAGATCAAGTGTTCCTCCTGACTACCACTTACCACCCAAAACACCAAAAAAACCACCTTCCTCTTCTTCCAAAACCTTCTGATCTCCACCAATAAACCAACCAACCTCATTAATTATCTCTCCAATGGCACACCACTGCCAGCAAGGAGGAGGAAGTCAGCAAGAGCAGCTGGAAGAGCTTTCCCATCAGCAGGCCTCAGGATCAGAGCTTAAACTGGGTGGGAGCCATACCTGCTGTTCCTAAGGCAAAAGCTACAATGGCATCTGTCTGCTTTGGTTTGGGCCTACCTTGGGAAAATAAAACCCGCTCCAAGAAACAGATGAGGAGAAACGTCATTGCTGCTAACAAACAAGTATGCTGTTTTGGTGCATGAGAATGCAATAACAACAAAAAACAATGACGTCTCATTTAAGAAAATAATTTTCTATTCTTATCTGTGATTTTAATATGCCTAAACAATTTGTGCAAGACAAGCTATGATAACAGTGCTACATTTACCCAAAGTTGGAATTCATAAAGCAGTATTGTGGAATATCAGTCATGCTGTGGAAAACTCTCAAGTTGCACCATGTCCTCCTCTAAGTCCCTGAATGACTGAATGCACTAATCATTGCAATTTGTTTTAAAACAAACAAACAAACAAAGATAGTTGCAGAGCCTTTCCCTAGAAGATGTTACAAAGCTTCAGAACAGCACTGAAACAATAAATCAACCTATTTCCATTTTAAAGGAAACTATTGTGTTTGAATAGCAATGCCCCATATCAACCACAGGCTCTGTTGGGTGAGGACCATGCACCCAGGGTTCTCAGCCTAGGACTACTTAGTTACCACCAAAATTACAAGGGTAAAGCACAAAGTCTGACTTCCATGGCTGACACCACTGCCAAAGCAAGCACTCTACAGCTCACTTAGACCTTTTTAGACTGAAAACAGAGCCCTTGTTTTATCTCTTCAGAAGACAGCTATAGGATCCTGGCTGGGAAGGGAAGGCCGGGTAAGTTACAAATCAGCAGCCCTCAGTGAGGACAAGGATTCGATCCTATTGCCACACAGCACTACTTCCATAACACAAGCAGAAAAAAGGCAGATGTGCTTATTGTATCATCTACATCACACAAACATCATCTGACACAACGATTGCAGCACCACTTACTCTCTGCACAAGCATCCTCCTCCTCCTCTTCATCCACGCTGGCTTCCTCCGAGTGCAGCCTTTCAAGCGCTCTGTAGGGAGGTGGCAGTTTCATTGGAGGTGGGGCCCCATACTTTCTCTGATGGATTCAAAGTAAAATAATTACATGCTTTGTATCCTCCATGCATGAGAAAAAAAACATCTTATTAGCTCCATGTGTTCATACATAGCACTTAATCACAACACTGAAGTCTGGAGCACAGACTTTTCAGGCAAGAAAACAGAAAAAGAAGGAACAGCAAACATCAAAAAAATACAACTGAGAACGAACAGTTGTTGACAAAATACTTGTGTATCAGGCATGAAAATATGAATATTAACCAAGGGTTGAAAATAAACACTAAACTATACCCTCATTTCTCATTAGAAATGCTCCAAGTCTTCTACTGTCTGAAGCCAACAAACTTTTAATATTGAAAGTAAGAACTCAGTTTTTATGTGTCACAGTAACATTCAGACCCTCAACTTCATTTTGGTTAAAATTAATAATAATAATAATAGAATTATAATGTACAATCAAATTCTATTACCTCGCATAAATAGAGACAGCTCCTGTAATGATGCATATAGCGGCGCATGGCAGGCATAAGAACAGGCTCTGGATCTAATGACAACAGCCACTCCTTCATCCAAGCAACAGTTTTATAGCTCACAGTAACTCATAGTGCCCCAGTTGGCTATGTGATTTCACCAAATTGCATTCAACCGTATCCCATGCAACCTCACTGCTAATAGCAGGATGCACTTTAGAAAGGGAACACCGAGTGCGTTGTGCCATTAGAGCAGCCCGAATGCCTATAATGAGTTTTGCTATAGCTGGCAATTGCAGAACACCCAAACATCAAATCTGGAATAAGATTTTCCATTGGGTATAATGAAAGCTGAACCTGCATGTAGATTTCTAAACTCTTGAGCCTAAATCTCTGTGGATCAGTTCAACTAGCCAACTGCACTGTCAGCTACACACGTTTTCTGAGGTAAGACTGGCATCATCCCATTGGTTCAAAAAAATATTACAGAAAAATGCTGCACTGAGGATGGCATAACACTAATAAATGAAATATGTCCAATGGTAGCAAAACCCCTGCACTCGGAGACCTGGCAGCTGTTTCCCCTAAGCATACAGTACACCAAATAACTCTGCCACTTTTAGCTTGATCTCGGTAGAGGCAGAGCTGTACGAAATCCAGAAGGTTCAAGGAGCGTCAGAGGACTCACATAGAACATTACCACACACACAGACATGGAAAACCTGCAGCTCCTCTTCCAGCTACCAATGACAAATGAATATCTCTGTAATTTGCTAACAACTCAAAGCCTAAAATTTGACCCTTAGTCACTTATGACAGTAAATACTTGACACGAGACACATAAGCTTACCCAATATCTTGCTATGGCTCAGGACAAGCTTTGTACATCACTTCTAACCCACCAAGAATCCAGGTGTGTCTGTTATGTTCGATTACACTGCTATACAGTGTTTCTGAACTAGCACAGCTTCTCCCAGCAAAGACAATGGCAAAAAAACACAGCTAAAAACAGCTCATCAGCAAAAGAATTTAAAGCCGATTTGTCCACAAGAAGCTCAATTGTTTCAAGTGTTTAAATAGAGAAAAATCTTCACTATTGAAAAGCTCATTAAGCATACAGGAAGAAGCCGATTTTTTCAGACAGAAATAGCAACTTTCAAACCAAACTCTTTTGTGAGACTTTGAAGACTGGACTAGAAATATCAGTGATTTCCCACAGGGACACAAGACCAGTAATCCACTAATAGCAAATCGTTCCAACTCTGAGATGCCCCTGCTGCAGCACAGTATGACTACTTTGTGAATTCATGTTCAAAGCTAAAAAGGAGCTATGTATTTAGGCACTGATGCTTTTCTATATTCCACCCACCAGTTTACAGCACCAATAGATGAAAAAGGTCTGAGAAAGATTAGGTTCCCTCTTTAACCTCCAAACGCTATAGAACGGAACACACTGGAGTCCTAGAGATTAAAGGCGGCACATTGCAAGAGGATGAGTGCTTCTGAGATTAGAAATATCGATAACAAAACCAAGAAAAGGGGATTGTAACTGCTTCATTGTGAGCATTATCCACGGGCATGAAAGCAAAGCTTCAACATCTTGATTTTTTGGGGAGGGGGAGGGAGAGGGGAATAACCGAGCCTCGTAGCATCTGGATCTGACAGATACAAGTCTTACAAAAACTTTCAGAGATAAGGGGGTCTTCTCGGTTACACAAGAAACACAAAATTATTGAGCAGGATCAAACGAAAAGCTCGCCATGTTTGTTGTTGGCACGTTGAACTGCACTGAGCAAGAGTTTTTGTGTTCTCTATTACTTATTGTTATTGTATTGACTCTAATTCTGTCACTGCTTCTTCATCCTCCAAGGTGCGCCTAACCTACAGAGGTCAACTCAGTTCCTAGAAGAAAGGCATCCAGGGAAATACTTTATGCCATTAAAGCAACCTGGCTGAGAATGAAAAATGAGAAATTAAGTTTTTCCCATACTCTGGTGATTAAAACAAATCCACAGGTTTACATCAAACAGGTTTCCTTCCTTCTTTCTTTTTCTTTTTTTTTTAAATCTGCTGTAGAAGTTACTGCGATGGCTTCACAATCAGCAAGCCAGCAGCAGACCACTTGGTCATTTCCTTGTTTTACACAGCAATAGGAAACATGGGAGACCTACCTGATTTAATTATCCTATAACAGAATTTTACTGAATTTCAGACAGCCTCGCATTAAGGATATCATCCGTGTGCATGTTATTATTTCTCTATTTCCACTGCAAAAGGAGAATCAATTTGCCTCCCCGTGGAGCAAGACAAGCAACTCCAGAAAAATGCCAATATAAAGCACCAGGGGAGAACCACCAGGGGAGCCTGAATCCTGCCTTGCATTTGGCAGAAATTTGGCAAAAACTACTTGAATCAAAAAATTTCAACAAAGCACTTGAGGTTTCACTTCAGACTTCACTGAGGCTTACCATACCACTATAACACATTATTGTATCACTTGATTTAGGAAAACTTGGGTGTAGCATTACACGGAATAAATACCTTTTCACTCTTACTTTCTTTGTTTGCATCCTGATCTTTGCTGACTTTGAATCCCTTAGGATGTATGGCAGAAACCACCTGTAAAACAATACATATTACACACACACTAGAAAAGACTGTTATGGCTGCAAAACGCCTGAAAGTTAGGTAATAACAATAATAAAGCCATCCAGCACACTCTGCACTCTTCATGTTTTTCTACGTAGAAGTGCACTGCAGTGCATCTGAGGAGTTTGTTCTCACTGAAATTACAAACACTGAGTTCTCGTGCTCACTGTTTGACATCTTGCCTCTTCTCCTCATTCACTTAAACACTCCTCTGAATCATATGCCTTTTCTTAGAGAAGCATTAAGAGGTTTCTTGCCTTCACCTTGAAGATGAGGAGATGCTAAATCTCTTGAAATTCAACTTACTGCTGAAGGACTACTTCAGGTTTTTTGCTGACCCATTTTACACGGAGTTGCTGGTGCCAATCTGGCTATTTCTCATCATTTCATAGTTTGTTCATTTGGACAACTGAGTGTATTTTTACATTATGAAATATAAACAAATTAGAATACACAGGGCCAGATGCAATTCTACAGATGGGACAAATTGAATTAATATCTAGTCAACAAATTGACATCAACTTGATTTACAACAAAGAAACAAGGTTTTGAATCAAGCCAGGTAAGCAAGGATGTAGTCTACAAGCAGAAACTCCAACAGAAAGGATGGGGACACAGATTGTCAGATCTTGCCAAAAGAAATTTAGCCAAGTTTAAAATAAGATGCATATAACAAATTTGTTAAATTTTAGAATAAAAAATAGAAATAAACTCACTTTTGGTACGTTAGACAAACTCTGAACTACAAACACAACAGGATTTCCTGCATTCTTGATAGCTTCTACTGCTTCTTCGTGCGTGGCATTTTGTAGATCTATCCCAGAAACCTAACAAATATCATTTGTTTTTATTAGATAGTTTGTTATTTCAACTGCACCTTTTAAAGAGATCACATACATTCACAAAAGATTAGTTTATATGAGGAAGGTTCCAAAAGCAGTCAATAGAAATTATTTTTGAAGGATTCTTCCTGGTTGGTTTAAAGAAAAGCATCTTAGCTAGCATTCACAATAAGGATGGCCACATATTTTGTCAAACAACTGTTCTATTCCAAAAAACAAAGAACAAGACTGTCAGAGAATGGTAGGTATAATAACACGTTCAGATTTTACCTGTTTGTAAACTAAATCTGCTTTGAAACATCTTTCAAAACATCACACACAACCCCAAAGTACACACAGGAATGCCACTCCTGGCTTTCATCTCTGGCTGGCCTGATTTTCACTCGTTTATCTCTGAATCCCAAGGTGACAGTGCCATTCTAATCTCAGGCACTTGCTGAAATCAGCCATTTCCTTTAAATGGTAGCAAACCAGACAACAAACCAGCTAACAAATACAAAATGACACACACAAAATAAAAACCCATATATTTCAGCAAACTCTTCCATATATTGTAACGCACACCTAGAAGTCATAGCAAGTTATAACATAAATTACTACTTCTTATTCATTCATATAAGTCTTTTTCTTTTCTTTCATTTCTCAGGGCCTGTCTTTTCTTAAATATACAGGAGAATGTTAAACAATCTCCACAGTTAAATCCTGAAAAAAGAAAAGACAGCAGGGGTATTTTTTTGGTTTTCAAAACACAGCCATCAATACTTCACAAAGCAGTGGTTGTATTTTGTTCCTCCATCCTTCCAAAGCTGAGTCAAACTTTATTTTTTCACATGAAAAGGTAGGTTTGTCTGCATTTACCTCAAGTATTTTATCTCCAGTTTTTAAAGCTCTTGTTCTTCCTGCTGGGCTGTCTTCCAAAACTTGTTTGATAAAGATCCCTTTAAGTTCCTCTCCATTCTTTAGGCGCTTTATGACAGTTTGTCCACCAACAATACTTATTCCAAGAGACACATGAGGATCTCTGAAGATTTCAACACTGAAAAAAATACATGCAGAAGTCTAACAGCTTGAAACAGTTAAACACAAAGCCTCAAATAAATGTAAGCTTTTGGTCTTTCAAGACTATCTAACAGAGTGAAGAGATGAAGCCAGAAGCCTATGAATGCTCACAAAAGACCTTGCTTTTCACCCTCAGTTGTCTTCACCCCTCAATAAGAAAAAGAGTTATTGCCAGCCCAGGCCTACTGCTCTTCCAGTAGGTTTTTATTTTAGAAAAAGTCACAGTAAAACAGACAGGTCTTCAAGTAAACAAACTCAGTCGTTTTCAGTTTGATTAGAGTGTTTGGAAATGGCAAAAACTGCAAATGATATGTTAGAAATGATAAAACAATAAACAAATTTAATGCAGCTTGCTGGCTCCACGTGTCAGATGCATATTAATCAGCTTAAGCAGAACTGTTTTAATCATTTTGTATGTAGGACCATAAAATCAGTTCACCTAAAAGTGTTAGCAGCATAATGAGAATGGGGCTAAAGTTGGCTTGGCAATTCCAATTACACCATAGAATTTAGCAGAAAACCCATGAAAATGAAGACAGAAGTACTGTGTACACTGTTCACACTTAACAGTTATGAAATGAACGTAAATGTGTAGGTCATCAACAAACATATCAAGCTTTCCCAAGTCAGTTATAGAACTAGAAATTACAGCTCTGTAGAACATTGTTAAAAATACACTGTATCTAAGAAAGCCTAAGGTCCAAAAGTACCTTAAATTACTGGGAGAAAAGGGATGAGAGAGAAAAAAGAAGAAATGATCAGGCTCACAAAAATTAAGACATAACACAAATGAGAAGAAATGGTGCAACTTTATGAACATACGTCCGAGGTGGTCCCCAGTGGCTGAAGTTTGGAGTTTCTTCACCTTCTCCTTCTTCTCTTTCAGGTAATTCACTAATTGGGGGCACAGAGAGGGGAAGAACAAGAAAAATAATAATGAAAAGGTATTAACTGTCCCAGGTCACAATTCCTTGCATATTTTCTATCTGGCAGTGAGACAGCAACACGTTTTCAAACAGTCCAGTTTAAATGTGCAGTCAACAGACTAAGCAGGAATTTTTGTATTTAGTTTAAATGTATCTAAGGAATGCACCATGAATGAAACATGATGGACTGGCCAAATGTACAAGGTGCTGTGAAATACACATCTCCACTGCTGTACCTTATTCGAAATGTCTATTTAAGCAGTCATTTTTACTTTCTGATAAATATGCTGTGACTTTTACAGAGGGATATAAACATGGTAAAGCCAATCTAGCTTACCAGAAAGCCAGTTGTATTGCAGCTTGGAGAACAGGTCCTGTGTGTTCCATTAAACACCCCAGAACGGGGTGTTAATTAAACTTTTATAATATGTATGACTCATCTAGTCACAGAATAGGAATTGAAATATCAAACTGCGGGCCCCCCACAGCAAGGTTGAAGCAGTACATCCTTGCACACATTTTCTGTAGACCCTGAGAGCTGTAAACGCTACTTTTACATTGCAAAAAGGAAGTAGGATGTTGTACTGGAGAAATAATCCCCTCAACATGTTGCTGAGCAGCTTTCAGACCGAGGGAAATCACAGCTTAATTAGAGAAGCATTGAGAATTTGAGCCAACAGACCCTGAAAGCTGATCCTCTACCTGCTCACCCAAAACTGGTGGGAGAAGTGTAGGAGAATTTATGGTAGTGGCAACTATCTGTGAGCAGTGCCAGCTCAAGGTTCGTCATCACTACGGCAAGATTAAACTGTTCCTGCACAAGCATGAGGGTCATAGCTAAACTCTGGAAGGGAAGGAACAAAAGAAAGCAAAAAACAAGAGGACAAAGCTGTGATAAAGAGCTAAGGGGAGAACTCTTAAAAGAGGTGATGTCCAGGGTTGCCAGGAAAGCCTACATCCCTCTCCAGGGCACGTCCACTCTTGTGGCTCTCACCTAACTGTGGGGTAAGTGATGCAGGTGGGCCAGCATTCAGGGGAAGAAACACGGGATGTAAGAATTCAGTAAGACTGTAAGGCAAACATTCAGCTCCTTGGGTAAAAGGCACACACTGGGGGTGGCCTGTATCTCAGTGTTTCCCACAGCTTTCAGCAATTCATCAGTTAGGTAAAGCAAGAAAAAAGTTACGAGCATTAACCAAAAATCATCTGAGAATTGAAATCTTTCTCCATACCTGTACAAAACTGTGCTAGGCTGAGGTAAGGTGGTCACTCTCACAGATTTTTCATTCTTGGAAAACATGTAATCCTCCCCTTCTTCCTTTTCAACACCTTCTAGGTCAACAGTGAAACCGGGTACTTTAGAGTCTGTATGAAGCTTTGTACCTGATGAAGTAAAGGTTTAGATGTAAAATTTGCTTCCTCTGTCTCTGCATCTACCTATCGCCTGTGCAAATAAACCCCTCAGCTCATCATGTTCCAGATGTGAATGGTGAGAGATGATCAAGAAGCTCAGAGATACAGAGCATTTATTTTTGCAGGAAATTTAAAGCATGCTGATTTATCTACCTTTAATAGCACCTTGCTTCTGACCTGCAGTCAGGTAATAAGAGAAAATGCCAGATCTTACTGGAATCGAGACATGCTTACATACAGCTTGCATGGCATATGCTTCTCACAAAAACATGATTAGAAATACTGTATCCATCCTTCATGCAAGGAGAGCTGTACAAAGCCCTGATCCAGCATGGATGACTAATGTCCTTTCAGTGCCATAAATATAAACACTAATTAAATCACTAGAGCTCCTTGCTAAAGTCATTAGTCTGCCATTTTGGTTAACAGAGTGTCTGCTGTACAAGATGCAGGTGACAAAGAACAGAAAGAACTCCTTTTCTCCCAGTGAGTGCTACCACAAGCAGGCTGATAAACTAATTTGCTGACAACATACCAAACTCTAACAACTGATTTAGGGGGGGATGAAATTCATTTGGTCTTGAAGAGGTACCTTGAATTATATATACTCGTGTAATGAAACTGTGGCAACCCAGATTAAGTCTAAAGAAAACGTTTGTGAAAATATCCACCTCCAAACCTTTCTTCTGCCAAGAAGTCACTTTGTTATTTTGTTGTGTCCATTACCACTCATGCACCTTGACTGAGTTTCTCACTAAGAGCTCACCAGTGAGGGCCCAGAGAACACACATAAACATAAACCCACAGGGTAGAGCTCTCACACACAGGCACAGCAACCTCACTGCCCTGAGACAGTATGGAAAATAGAAAGTTTCACGCCTGTTTCAAAGTCAGACATCATTGGAGATGCACATGAAACTGCCAGAGAAGATAAAGCAGACCATGCATGAAATCCTCCTGGTGATACACAGGGATGTGACTCTCCACAGGCAGGAAAAAGCTGCTGCAACTTTCAGTATTACTTATGATAACTGTAGGTAAACATTTGGAGGAAAAAGCAAGAAAATGAAGCAGGAACTGCCATTAGCCTGTAGAGATCTTCATTTGAATATTTTATCATCTGAAAGTTTGAAAATAAATTCATGCTTCAGTATAAAAGTTAAATTTGTAAATACAAAGTTCAACACAGCATAAAAAAAAGAAGAAGAAGAAAGGAAGAAAGAAAACTTCTTACAAACCTAAATCCATTTTGTTTCTTGATCCTGACTGGGTAGCTCCACTGTCCAATAGGCCTTTTTGGTAGTCCCTGTGTGCCATGGTTCCAGAAGACTGTGAAGTTATATTAGCATTTTCTTCATACTTCAGAGAGGAGAAAAAAGTGAAGAAAGCAAGCAGTAGGATCAACTATAGATATATTTGACAGGAATGTTGATTGTACAGCAAACATTCACATTTTCTCAGCTATGTAACTACCTATCCACACAACTATGGACTATTGGAAGTACCTAAAAGCTGCACCATCACCTGGTTGTAGGAACTGATTGAGATTAAAGAGAGTGAGGAAAAGAGGGAGCTCATTTCATTGACACTGCTGCTGAAGGCCCTGGCTTGACTTGACTTTGGTTATTACTGAAACATATCAAACAAGCAGAACTTGCAGAAAAGAAGGGAATTCAGATGTCACAGATGGGAAAGAGGACAACAGTATAGGATAGCTATAAATACACCAATCAGAGGATGTACCTCACCCAAGGAAATGCACAATCATAACAAAATAGAACCTTCCAAAACCTACTAAAAGATAAACTGGTGTCCATTAGAGGCACTCAGATCTCAGCTATTAATTAAAACACAGGACAGACTGATTACAGAGTTTAGGTCTGGAATTTGCCTTGAGGAATACAGGTCCCTACCATCAGGGTACAGCACTGAGATGAACCCAGCATTACTTACCATCTGCTCCCTATTGAATGTATATTCCAGGGACTGCTTTGGACTTAAGTTGGCACTAGATCTTAAGTCTTGTATTTTAGCTGTCTGAAGTTGCTCTGCCCATTCTGTATTCAGGTTCTTCTCTGAAGATGCCTTCTGTCTATCTGATGAGCTATATTTCACAAAGTCTACATCTTCTTCATACTCATCCACCAACATTTCCCGTTCTTCATCCACTTCTTCTGTTGTGGGTTTCCAGAATTCACGCATCTCCCAGGACTCCTTCTCATATCCACTGTCATTTTGAGAAAGCTGAAATGACCTTCCCAAGTCCAAAATTGGTTCATCAACAGCTTCTTCTTTAAAAGGTGTTTCATCTCTGAAACCCTGCGTAAAACATTACAGGAATAAAGATTTTTCATTATTTTTCTTGCTTAGTCTTAAAACTGTGTTTTATGTTAAATCACATTAAAATTACATCCTGATTTTTAAAGTGAGAATCTTCTGCCTTTTGCATTTTTTTTTCCAAAGAAAATGCACTCTCCGATTTACGATTTTAATTGCAAAAGTAACCATTGCCATTTCCTTTATATATAAAGAAATTTCATTTGGACAGTTCAGATATTGCTGCAGCCATTCAGAATAACCACCCTGGACTGAAGTAAGGAATGAGAATTTTTAAACAATACTAAAAAAAACTGGAAAAAAACCATACAAATCCAACTAAAGTATCTTTGTAACCCAGACTGACTGCTATTGCTCTGTCTACGCAAGTACATTTCTTATAACACCACAGCACCAGTTAAATAAAACACTTCTGGGCTGAAACAACAGAGCAAGGTACAACAAAACCAAAAAGACATTCAAAGCCTCCCCTCCTCCAGACCCCAGCTACCCAAAGGATCTAGCTCAACAGTTCTTATCCTGGGATTTGTCACATGCCTCCCAGTTTCCAATGCTTTCTGTTTCTCCTAAATTGAATGAGGTGCAATTCATCGGCCCACGGAGTGAGGCTGACTGCAGCTACACACTGCATGGACATCCCTGAAATTTTATACCTTAGGGAGCTGTCAGAAAGCTCGCCACAGGCTGAAAGCCTTTCATTCTTTACTTCAGGCCACCGAGCACGTGTGCCCAAACTTGGTCTTCAGGCACCGAGACCCTGAACGCTGAAACCACTCTGAAGATTCAGGGGTCCTGAACCAAAACATTTTCCCTTCTGCTTCCTCCCTCTTCCCCGGCTCCCCACGGTGCTTTGCTATTTCTGACCCTTAGTGTCAGAATCCTGTTTTGTCAGAAAAAGCCCAGACACTGCCAAGAAGTGCTCACAGTTCAAATGAGAGTCAGGAAAGAAAGCAAGAGACAGACGAGAGCATAAGGAAACAGTGCAGTAACACTAGCTGGCACGAACGCATCACATTAGCAGTCTAGAAGCTACCCCGTTTTTCATAGGCATTAAATGTTTCTTTTTGCCCTGAGAACTTCAATCTCACAAAATATCCAATCTGAAGAGATTCTAATTCTCTTCATTGTTACTTCAATTCATCTCACTCCTGCCGCATCATTCTCCAAACGCTGCAGACTTGTAAGAGCCACCAACTTCACCGTAACATTAAACAGTTCACTCAGTAACCACACAGCAATTTGTATTGCCATCTCCTGATACAGCACTTAGGTATGGCATAATCACAGACTGCTGCACTGCAGTAGCAGACTCCACCAATGGAATAGGGAATACCACAAGCACGACAATAAAGTCTACTGTTGTAGCATATAAAATGTTCAAGTTTTTTTTTCTTTCCCCTGAAGTCAGCTTTGTCAGCACTATGCTAGAAAGTAAGAACTCAAGCCATCATGACACACTGCTCTCAGCTCTTATATGAACAGATAAGGTAATAAATAATGGCAGTTTTATACCACCTTTCTATGCTACTATCAGTTCTGCTATACTAAAGTAAAACAAAATACAAGCAATGGTATTTGCTTGTATTCTGTACCAACTGACCATTACAGCTCCTATATTCAGTAGGAGTAAGATGAAATACACTGTATAAAAGCAGGTAATAACATTAGCTTAATTTAGGAAGTAGGAAAAAAATCTGAGCTAGCAGAGGACTAATTGCTCTGCCAGGAACTCTTCCTATGCACCTGGTAAACAATAAACCCCATTTTGCATCGTGAAAATCAGTAATACATCCAAGCCAATTCCTACACATTACATACCTACATCTGCCCCATAGTATTGCTCTTTTTGGTGGTCCTAAATCTGAAAAGAATGCACTTACCAATGTGAATTAATTCACATTCGCGAAGTATTTGAGAACAAATGACAATTCAGAGATCTTTCACTCTAGACAATTTATTCCTGCAATCCAATTGCCTATTACCCTGGTATCTGAGTTGCTCTCGCTATTTTTAGTGTCACATCCCACCCCAATAATGTTATTACTTACAAAATGGAAAATAAGAAGAAGAGACTAAAGAAATTACTCTAGGCCCCACAGGAAAGTCTGTGAAGACAAACAGATCTCAAGCTTGCCGTATACACCAGACTACTGTTTTGTTTCCATCCATTATAGCACAGAACATTCTATTCCATACCTTAACTTTCTTGCAAAGCTGAGCCAGTGACTTATGACTATTAGTGCTGTAGCATTCCCATTTCATAACCAAGATAACACAAGGTATTTTAATGAGTTAGTAAAATTGATCAGACAGTCTAGGAACTGCATTGGCAACGGTAAGCTTGGTGTCCACAATGCAATTAGTAAACCAACAGCTGTTAGTATCTATTTTACAGGGAATCCATCCTGGAGTGTACCCAAAACTGAAATGTTACCTGAAGACTATTTTATCTTCTGACTGTAAGATGTTATTTCCTGTCTCCATAAACTTCAGCTGAACCAAAAGAATAAACAAATACCTGTGGTGCTTCAAGGATTATTGAGAAATTGGTATTATCTCTTGACTCTGGAGATCCAGGGCTGGTTTTCATGTTGCTGGTATCCATGTTGCTGGTATCCATACTATGCACGTTCTCCTCTTTGCTTTCTCCCTAAGCAAAGTGATCAAAATGTTAAGTCAGGAAAACAACACCAACAAAAAACCTAAAAGTTCACATTTTTCAACTAAATGGAAGAGGGAGAAACAGCCATTGGAAAAGAAGCTGGAAAAAGTTACAGAAGGATAAAAAAAAAGTCATAGATCGAACAGGTGAAGAGAACAGTCTTTATTCTTTTTAGAGAGAGATATATTTATATATATATATATATATATATATATAGTTTCAAAAACACATAGGGAAGACAAATACAAGCATACAAAGGATGAAATATCACTATCTCAGAAAAGGAAAAAAAAATTATTGAATGGCCTCCCTACATTCTCATTTCACCACTCTGCTACCATTTTGAATTACAAGCACTTTCGATCAGACGGTGCTTTGCTTCAATTAATTGTGTCTGCTTGCCCTTAAAAAGCAACACTGCAGCCTCAAGTAAACTCTTGTCTGTTGCTAAACCCTAATTCCAGAAAAAAAATTTCTACTTGAATTTACACTCCTCATTTGAAACACATCAGAGAATGAGAGAGAAAAAACCCAAGTGCTTACCACCAACGGTTTGCAGATTCCAAGAGAAACTCTTCCAGGGGGCACAGATTTCAACACCTCTACTGCCTCCTTTAAAGTTGTGCTGTCTAAATATTTCCCATTTACAAATACCAAGCGGTCACCGGGTAGAAGCTCACCACCACGTTCAGCTACTCCACCTGCCACCAAAGAGCTGATCACAATGGCTGTTCTCGTTGGATCCAGGGGATCCTGAAAAAGAAGCCCCAGAAAGGTGGTGATTATTTCCAACGTATAAGGAGGAGTTAAGCACGTTCCTCATCTTATGCAACTAAATTGAAGCTTCCCAACGCCTGCAAAAAGGACTGCCTGCTAATACGGCCACAGCCTGAAGATTACAAAAAGAAAGGTTTACAGCAGGAAGATACTCTGTCCCTTGCTTAATCCATTAAGAAATTTTAAATTCTAAAGCTCGCTGATGCCCTGCCTGCCTTCTTCTCACACGCAGAGAAACAACCAGGCCAACCTGGAAATAGAAGAACAACGCTGGCATTCGTCCACAGCCCTCTGTCCAGTCTGTTCTGTGTTAGCATTACATAAAATAACCATCCTGCTTGCAATTCAAGAGCTTCATGGCAGCTAAATTTGTCTAAAAAAAAAAATCACTGCAAGATCAGAAATTTAATTAAAGTTATTAAAGAATTAAAGTCACAACATCCAAGAAGCAGCACTGTGCATTTGCTGAACCACCGCAGTATTTCTGCTTTGTGAAATCTGCAGACAACACGTAGAAATCAATTTATCTGTGAAGCTTCCCTGAGAACAGAGGGTCAGCTACAGAAGAGTAACCAAGATCATTAATGAAGACACAGAACACTGCAGTGATGAATAAGGAGGAACATGAAGTAGGCAATATTATACACGTTGGAGAGACTGTAAATTGATGCAAAGACACCACTTTTCATACATTTTTTCCCCCCAGTATTTACCTCTGCATTGTGTCAGGTACCATTTCTAGAATATATTCAGTCTCATTTAAAAATCCATTCTCAATCCAATGAGATAATCCAAAGTAACTATATTGTGGCAGGAAAACACAGACTTTAATTTTACTTTTATTTTTTAATTACAAGCCCTTCTTCTCCCCTTTGCTAAGAGCTCATAAAGTTCAGAAATGTTCCTTGCACGCAGTATGACTTCAAAAGCATAATCAGGTACTATTTTTGCTCCTCAGGACTTGCATCTGATTCAGCACACGGGAAGGATCCAAACAGGCAAAATTCAAGTCACAAAGACCACCACGACTTTACAGCTCAGTGTTAATTTGAAAACAGGAATGTTTTTCTCTTGCATATAACTGTACGCTGCTTTCCAAGTGAACGTTTTTTGTTTAAGGTATGTACAAATATATGAGGCAAAGAATGTAATGTCTGCAAATTGGCTGAAATTAGAGGAGCGAAATTGGAGTTCAGCAGGAAGAGCCATGCTGGAACTGAACTCAAGTAATACAGTAATAACTAGTAATAACTCTCTCCTGCTCTCCTGCTTAATCCCCCCATTTTATAATCTCCACAAGCACTAGGTGTCCGCGCCGTAGGAAGAGGCTTCCTTGCTGGTATCATGTCTCAGTAATCAAGCCCAGCAACCTCCTTCTGCTGCACAATGGTGTTCTGCCTACTGAACGAGTGCCAGGACACATGGGCTGCCTGACTGCTGGTGCTCAGACCTGCCTTGTGCAATGCAGAGCAGAGAGGATTTCGTTCGGTTCAAACACCAAGCGATTCACATTCTGCGCACGCCTTGGGAATTACTTGAGAAAGAAAATAGTAATAATGATGAGAAAGAAAAATGCCAGAAGTCCCAAAAAGCTCAAAGGTTCCAAGAAGATTTTAAAAAAAAAGAAAGATTTGCTTTAAAAGAGCTAAATTTTGAAAATGTGATGTTCCTGCTGCCCTGTATACACACAGCCTGCTTTACCTGCCCTTCCTAACCATGTGCCCAAGCATCCTGATGACAGCAGAGCACAGGACAAAACACTCCATTTAACACAGACCTTTGAGATGTTTTTGATTTGGGGGGTTTTCTCCAACACAAAATAAAAATAACCTTTTAGGCTTCTTTGCAAAATCAGGACCACATTAACACAGCTGTTTTTACGCAAGGAGGACTGCTCACATTAGGAAGGCCTTGCTAATAGAACTAACCCAGCAAGTTTATTTTTCAATCACGGGTTCATCTTGCCATGGCAAGCAAGGTTTGTGCCTGCTCCCTAAAAGGGTGACTGCGCTCTCAGCAAAACTCCACCTTTGCTGACACAACAGCTTTTATACTATGACTTCTGCTGGCTTAGCTATATTGATTTAAAAAAAATGATAATTGAACAAAACAAAACCAGCACTCATCTTTACTGATGCAGATAAGCTGACAAAACATTTGCAAGTGAATGACTGGTCCAATAATTATGGCACTAACTGAGAATGTGGGAGAACCAGGTTCAAATCCCGTTCGGTCTGATCCAAAGTTTTTCTTTTCTTTTGGTTCCCAATCAGAATCAATTAAACAGTACGTGGGAATCTTGCCATCAGCTTCTCCTACACAGACACTCAAGGTCAGAGGCGTAACCCTCACGCTTCTGATGACAAATAGTCCTGCTTTCACCTGAACTTCCACTGAAATCAGAACATTTTGGCAATAGTAAAATCAGTGTGTTTTGGTAGATTTAGTTCAGCTGAAGAAGTGTTCCAACCGACTCTAATCCTCCCGTTAAAATGAAAAATGACCGAGTTCCTGCAAATGCACACAGTTCCCACGCAGCAATGTTTTGAGAGCAGCACGGTTATCAGCACTGCTTTGTAACACCTCATGTGCAGCAACATAGGCCAATATATCAGAACAAAAAGCAGCGGAAGAAATCTTTCCAAAGAGGGCTGTATTAAAAATCGTTGATCAGGTGAACACAAAGCAAGGGTTATAATTACTCTGCTGTTTTCAAGCAGAGGGAGCTATTGTACAGGAAGAGAAGAGCAACGTAAACTGCACGGTGACAGGGTTAAGTCTGTAATGCGGGCACTGCTGTAAAAACCCCAAATGTTTGTTACCACGACTGTGAATCACAATGCTATTGCCACAAGAAATGTAACAAAAGCCACATGTGAAGACAGACCTACTCAGTTTGAAGGTGTAACCTTTTTATATATTCTTTGTAACTTCAGGGTGACTACAACTGTGGATTGCACAGTGCTTTTCTTACCAAAACAAAGGAGCAGTGGTTTTCTGCAAACTTAGCATATGATTTAAACTCAAGCCCAAATGCACCTAAAGAACAACACCTGCTAAAACAAGACTGCAAACAATGAATTCACATCTTGTAAACAGCGAGTACAACGGCACTGAGTGGGCTTTTCTTTTTTTTTTTTTAAATAAAGAAAGCAGTGCTAGCAGCCAGCTGAAAAACAGATTCTTTCTTTCCATACTAACTGCAAGAGGGAAGTTCACTCGCAGAGAGCCCTGCCAGGCTCTGGGGCCACATCCATGCTAACAGACCAGCCAGAGCCATTTGAGGTCACAGAGCAACACTGACTGCACACATTTACCGAAGGCTTCTGGTTCATTTCACCTGGCTTATGGCAAGCCAGCTAATAGCAATTTTCAGTCACCAGCAGTCAGGTCTGTGTTTCAGTCTGCTTACTGGCTTGGATGTTGTTACAGGCTGGGAAGGAACACCCCACCCAAACCCAGAGCTGTTGCTGTAACAGTGCATTGCTAGAATACACAAGTGGCACAACGTCAACAGTTTAAGCAGTTTTTATCTTTCCACACTCCCTGAGTAAGCCGGTCATCTTAGAATGGGCACAAACCAGGACTGGAATGTATAGAAGGCAACTTTTAACTTCTGTTTACTGCACAAAGGAATCTATATTTATAAATAATGAGGAAAAGGAATCAGACTGGTAATTAAAGCCTCCTTGTGACAAAGCCTCCTTGTTCTAAGGCACCAATACAAACTTTTTTAGAAAAGTAAAAAAAAAAAAAAACCAAAAAATAAAAACAATCACGTGTTAAAAAAGAATATTTGCCACTTGAATTAATGCTGAAAGTTGAGCGTTGCTGTGCAGAGCAGCAGCCCATGCAAGGCCTCCATGTAACCCTCTGAGGAACCGGGATGCTGTAGCTGTCGCTCTCCTGAGCCAGTCACAGAGTACATGAACTTGTTCACAATAGTCACAATTTATTCATACTTCGCACACCATATATTTAGCTGCATTGAACCGTAGTTCTTCCCTTCCCCCTACCGCTCCTCATCAAAATCCACAAACGTTTCCTGGAGTCGAGGTGTCAAATTTTTCCCTTCCTTCTCAGAGCCTCATTTGTTCTGGATCCATTTAGCAGCACTCAGAGTCAGGCAGGGGCCGCGGCCGTCGCTGCCTCTGGGATCCCTGCATTCAGGGTTGCACAGAGCCTCTTAAAACCCTGAGTTCTGGAAATACGTTAGGAGCCCCAGGAGCACCGAGTTAACAGAGTCCTATGTGCAACGCTGCCGGGGTGTGTAATTTCACGTGGCTTTGAGCGGGGGGCTGAGCAGCGATGCTGGGCACACGCACTCAGGGTCTGCACTCAGCGACCGGAGCTCCTTGAGAAACACAACTGGAAACATAACTAACGCAAATCACCTCGGTCCATCTTCCTGGGAAACGGAAACGCAAAGAACGGGCTGTCGGCATCCCTGCGAGCGCTGAGCTTCCCTCCGCAGGCCCCAGAGGGCAGCACGGGTCCGGCCCACAGCCCGCCCTCAGGCTGCAGCTCGGAGCCGCTCGGCCCGCAGGCGGTGCGCTGGGGCTCCGCCGGGTGCAGGCAGCTACCGCACTGCTGGGGTCTGGTTGGTGTTTTCCTGCTTTAAAGGCTCCTATGGAAATGCAAGGCAAAGCTGCGGGTGACTGACATTTACTGCACAAAGTCACCCTCACTCACTTGCAGGCTATATTAGTTTTGGCATCATTTAAGATCTAAATTCAGCTAGCCCGACTTCCTAGAATGTTTTAGCTTTCTTCGAGCAACAAACTGCCTGCTGCCACACAAACACTGCTCTGAAAACACACATCAAAAATAGCATGGCAAAGAATCCCAAAAGAAACAGTTTGAAACTTTTTTTCCTGTACCAATTTTGATTTATCTGAACAATTTTACAAGTGCCAATTTGTATACTTGCGAAAGAGCCAAAACAAACACATGTTAGAGCTCAGAGGTCAGAGCAG